TGGAGCAGCGCGCTGTGCAGGAGGGCTGCTGGCCCGGGTCAGATCAGTGGAGGACTCGAATAAGCTATTTCTGTGCGGAAAGAAGAGTTCAAGCAGATCGCCTGCCTGTCACAGGCTCAGTAATGAGACATTATCCCCCATTAACGAAGGCGCAGAGTTCGATAAATCAAGGGGTCTTTTTCGTTATCGCGCTAAATGATCACTTGGCAAGTGTTACTCCGGCGCGGAGGCGGCTTTTCTGAGCTGTGACAATTCGCTGCATTGTTCTTAAGCGGCTGCATTGTGACTTGGTTAGACAATAGCCAAGCAGTGTTAGAGGTGAAGGTGTGTCAGGCGTGTGCTAGTCTAAAAGCCTTGTTCTGGTTGCTGGGCCTGGGCCGTGTTACACAGTTGTAGGTATTTTTTATAAAAAGAAGATAATTAACATACTTGAACTGTTTATTGCAATTTTAAAGAACGTATTGGAAACATCACAGATGCTTTCTTTGTGCCAGAGGGGTAGCACAAGAAAATCATAAAGCTTCTGATTTTTATCTCCTTTATTTTTTAATACAAAAAGTGTTTATATCTTCTTATTAAAGAATTGACTAGTATTGTATTACTTGGCAACTCAGTCTTCTGCTGACCGCTTGCCTGACTAGGAAGGATATTATCATTAAGGGATATTGCATGAGCCAGATCCCTCCTTCTAGTCTTAGATCATATGCAGGATATCCAATGTGACCTACCACTGGAGGAATGAATAGACTAAAGTATTCACTCACAACCCATAACGTAGCAAAGAAGGGAGTGAGTCAATTCCAAAACCAGGCAATGGGGGAAGGAAGGATGCAGGCCATCAGTCCAATCCCAATCATTTAGTAGTTGCCAGGAGAAAGCCTTATAATTCCCTTCCTGTCTGGCCGTTACTGGGAACCCTGCTTGCTGTGAAGAGTCAGGGAGCCCTTTTGGTAATCAGAATCCTCACACACCCATCCACTCTGTAGGCAGACTTCCCAGCTCTTATAGAGGTAGCATCTTGCCCCCCCTCCAAGTTAATGTTGAAGGCAGGGGCCCCTGGTGGTGATCTCCTAATCAGTTCCCCCCCAAGGCTGGCCAGACCCTGGGTGAAAACCAATCAGGAGGGTCTTTCTTGCCTGGTTGTGGACATCATCCATATGCCAACCCTCATTCAGGGCTGGGGGTTTCACCCCAGGACTCCACTCAGTTACAACACACAAGTCACAAATCTGGATATTGGGACTTCATGTTGTGCATCTAAACCCATGTATACTCTCATCCCAAAAAAGGCAGAGGGTTGAGATGTAATAGCAACTTCAGAACCACATTCTTAAATGGCTCTTTCCTACCTGTTTCTGTACAAATTAGATATCTCAATACCTTTGTCAGCTCTGGTTGGATTTTATTCAGTTTACTTTGGTGAGCTGTGTTTGTGCTCACTTAAAGGCATTTCTTTAGGTGGTGCACCTTAAATGTAAGCACCTGTAAAATTCAGTACCATGAAAACAAACGAGGGAGGTTAAAATTAAAGTTAAGAAGCTGAAAAAAAAAAAAAAAAACCTCCATTTTTTCCAGAGCACATAAAGCTTTTAAAACTGTTGAAGTGTGTGAGGAATTGGTGCCTGTGAATCGTCGCACAAAAGGTGTAGCCTGCCTGTCTCCCCGGGGTGCCATTCCTTGTGTCATCCAGAGCACCCGACTGCTCGCCTGCTTCTGAATGCTGTGTGCTGTTGCAGCCAAGCAGACTGTTCACCTTCTGACCAAACATTTTGTGAATGTGATGCTGAAATTCTCCTGGGCAGGTGTAACTGCGTCCTGCCCGCACACTGGTTTTTGTGCTTGCCAACTCCGCCGCTGAGTTTTCACTTTTTATTTTGAAATCCTTATTCAGCCTTCGGAAATTAATCTGGGCTGCCTCTGCCAGTGGTTACAGCTTGTTTTAACCACCTTACACAGCTGGCAGCAGTAGCGGAGGGGCTAAAATAGGGATACATTCTAACCATGTATGTAAACAGGTAGTAGTTTTATGATTAGTAAAATATTGGGGCCTCCACTGTCCTAGTTCCATGTGCGTAATCGCTGCTCCCCAGAGGCGGAGAGAAGGCTGAAGGTGGTGGGAGGTCCAGTGAGCTACGTTTCCCTTTTGGTTTCCAAGGGGCAGTTTTCTTCTTATCCCTAGCCGAGTTTGGCGTGACAGCTGCTCCTTGAGATGGGGGTTGATGTTCTGTCCGCATCAGTGCCCTGGAGAGGTCGGTCTCAGTTAACTCTAAGCTGTGTCTGCACACTGAGGTTGTCCCTGCAACCCCGCTGTGAACTGTGAACATTAATGCTTATCGTAAAATGAGAATAGGTATGTAGAGAAGTGCTGTATATATGAATTAAAAATATTTTCAAGTCAAAATTTGAAAATTTTGACTCAAAAGGCCTGCCCATGTTAGTTCGTCTGTTACTTCTCATTACTTTGCTAAGAATGTTAATTTGACTGGTTTCAGGGAGCCAGGGTACATAATGGACAAATAGAGGAAGACTTTGTATCTTCTGAGTTGCAAGCAATTTGACAAGCATGAACTCTGCTTCTAGTACATGTTCTTAACAAAGCTTCAACTGTGTGAACAGAAGAACACGTCCACTGATTATTTAAAATTCTGCTTCTTTTGCAGACGTCCTTTGTTGTTGATGAAGTCAGTGGCATTATTAAAGAGGTAAGCTAACATTTTCATGTTGTTGATGTGAAAGTATAGTCTGTTCTGGGCCATGTGATGAAAGGAATTCCAGAAAATCTGATAACTGATACGTAACAGATTTCTAGATAAGTTGCTGTCAAAGTATAGATAGCTGTTGATTTAAACAATGTACATACTTTAAGTGGAAAGGGTATCTAGCTTTAGTTGTGATATGTGATATCCAAAAGATAATTAAAATAATACCATATACTTCTCTCTGGTTGCAGTGTATCCCCATTAGAATTTCTAGGGGAATGGTTTATGTTAAACCCTATGGAGTTATATCTTAGTGATATTTAGGAGGTTTTTACAGGCTATCTGCATGTGCATGTTTCTGTGTTCTTTAGAGATGCCTGTCCTCCAAAATGAGTTTTGTTTGTTTGAAATGACTAAACTATTGTTGTTGCTAAGAAACATGAATTTCCCGTCTAGAAGATTTCCAGAGGGTTTTGGTTTCTGTGTCCAGAATTCCTCTTGTAAACTAGTGCAATATTTTTCTTCTTGCAAAGGGACTTTGTTTGGGCTCTGAACTGAATACACATGCTTTATTTAATGCTCCTGTCTCTTCTGAATCTGAAATATATTTAGTGGTAATTTCTAAAACAATTTCTGTTAGGGGAAAAAATGTATCGATGAAAAACACGCAGCTTTAATGTCCATTTATTTGTACCTTAGAGGGAAAACTATCCTCATCAGTAAAATGGATTATTTGGGTGAAGACTGCTGTTCCATTAGTAACCAGAAACTACATGGGTCTTTCGTTTTGATTTGGAGTTTTGTTTCTCAAAAATGATTCTGCTGAAAATTCCGAGGTTCATTTCCATAAAAGAATATGCGTGAATGAGCCACTGTTGTGTGCATTTTTTCAGCCTCTTCAGGACTCCTTAAATGCAAGGCCCTGGCTTCAAGCCATTGGGACAGGAATTGCAAGTAATCAAAATACCACAAAATGAAGAGAGTATGTGATGTATTATAGTATCCCTTATGCCTGGCTTAAATGCTGGCCTGCAAGTTTTTTAAGAATCGAAAACCACCAGTATGGGCAAACAGTATTTTGTATTTTTCCTGTGGGGGGTCTCGTCGTTAGTACCCCATGTGGGCAGGGGTCAGTGGGTGCCATGTTGCCGATTGTGCGCGTGTCGCCCGCAGGCCATCGAGGGCGCGATTGGCGGCAACGCCTACCAGCACAGCAAGGTCAACCAGTGGACGACGGGCGTGGTGGAGCAGACGCTGAGCCAGCTCACCAAGCTGGGGAAGCCCTTCAAGTACATCGGTGAGCTCGGCTGTCTCCTTTCCTTATGGCTGGGGCAGACGAGTGTGCCGGTGGGCGGCGGGTGGGGGAAGGTCTTGGCGAGAGCCGTGTCCGTAAACCCCTCGTGAGCACGGGTGTGTGCATGTACTGTGCTAAGCAAAAGTGAACCTAAATGGTAGTTCCTGTCAGTGATACTTTAATGAAGCTTCTCTCCTGCCTAACAGTGACCTGTGTCATTATGCAAAAGAATGGTGCCGGGCTACATACAGCAAGCTCCTGCTTCTGGGACAACTCCAGTGATGGTAAGGACACAACTGCTGGATTTTTCAGCTTGCAGCTTTAATGCTAGCCCCCTTTAAGACTAGGAAACACATTTTTATTGTTTCCCAAGTGCTGTAGTTTTGGAGTAAACTCTACAGTTTGGTATTTGTCCCATCTGGCCACGATGCAAACTCTGCTATACGTGAAATGCTTCGTTGTTGTGAAAGTTTCGTTCTCAAGAGTCTTATGTAAACACTCACATGCGTATAAGGGCCTGCATTTAGTCACTGCCACTTCCTTCTGTCTCTGAAACCCTTTTTTTGTATTTGTAGGAACCTGCACTGTGAGATGGGAGAATAAGACTATGTACTGTATTGTCAGTGCCTTTGGACTTGCAATATGATTGCCTTGCAACCATTCATCCTTCTCTTTTCTACTCCAGCACTTGGTGCCATCTCTACTCAAACTGTGAATACACTGAACTACTTCTGGTGTTAATGTACTCTTTAAGCAACTTTTTTTCAAGTGTAGAAATGTGAAAACATGCTGTCACATGGTTTATGTTTGTACTTAGTATCATCCCGGTATTACCATACTGTCTTAACACTTCAAGAACTTTTCTTCAAGGTGCTAATACTGAAATCTGCTGCAGTGTAAACACTTTCTCTATATTTCCTTTTTAAGACCAATAAATGAGACACCGACTTTCACACTTTGTAATTTTGGTTAGCATTAAATTATTGAAATTCATAACCACTGGTGTGACTCCTTTAAACTTAACTCTTTTGTTATTTAAGGAAAAAAGTTCCAGTTCTTTTAAATCTCTTCAAGATGGTTGAGGTACATACTAGGATACAAAGTGTTTTCCTAATTTTGCCAAAGTCACTACAAAACTGCAAGAAAATGAGGTGATGTTTATCAGAAAGTAAGTTGGCTGCATTTTTGGTACCTGGTTAATATGATTGTATGGTATTTAGGGCATGGAATGATGACTGTCTTCATTGTACAAAGACAGGTAAGAGTTTTTTCACATTCTGGAAGTGCCCAGCAAGCTGTACACAGGTAATCCCTCACTCCTGCTGCCAGTTACATGTGTTAAGTAGGTCTTGAACTTACCTACTACCTTCTATGTTGGTTTTGCTAGTAGTAGTGAGTGTGATGAGTTCTGACATTGGTAAAACGTGATTCTGAAAGGGAGAAAAATTGCCTCACAGCAACATAACTGAACAACGTGAATAAGTCTCTTGCCTTCTAGAGTAGAGTTGCAGAGGAGTAAAAAGTAAAACAAGTTGTCAGCATAGGCTTGGATCAGTTGTGGATTGTTGTTTTGTTTGTTTGGTTTTGGTTTTTTAGCTAATTAAAGAAATGGGAGCATGCTGTGGATTTCAGGCTCCCTCTGGGTACTGCTAGGCTGCTTCAGTAAGTAGTAGCTCACTGCTGGGGAAGTTTGAAAGAACTGCTGGCAAAGCAAGTGCAGGCGAGTAGTCCTGGGCTAGTCAGTGATCTGCATTTGCTTATATTTAGGAAGCCCTGCCAAATGTTTTCAGAATGTGGCTCTCAGCTAAAGCTGTTTAAAATGGGGTGACTGCTGGTACAACAGTATGTTTCCACGATCTGGAAAGATGTAATGCTGAAAAATGGGTGGCAGTAAGGGTTTGTTTTCCATAGTGCTGTGGGCACAGGGTTGCTCTCTGATACCTCTGCTCAGTGTGGCCGAACTGACGGTAGAAAACCCTGTGCTGGGCCGGGCTTCGCCCCTCTTCCTTCCTGTCCGTTCTGCCATCAGTAGGGCAAAGTCGTGATCAGCAGGGTTGGGCTTGGTACAGTTGGGACTCAATCTAGCTGTAAGGCTGACATAGTTCTGGTAGCATGCCAATTTCAAAACATCTCTGTAAACACACCTTCATGTCCAGCTGCTTCTTCATGCCGGCCTATGTCCTAGGGAGTGTTACTCTGGGGGTTTGCACCTTACATCTCTGTAGCACAGAGAGTTCCAGCTTGCCACTAGTTTGACTAGAAACAGAATGATGAGTATCTGGTGCCAGAAATGATACAAGCAACACCTGTAAAAAGAAAATATTAAAATAAAATGGATGGAATAGAGTGCCTGAAATAGTCATCGGGGTGAGAGTGAAAGTTGTCAGAGAATAAACCTTTGATCTCTGAATTGCTAAAGAAATTGTTAATCTGGCTGGTTGGATACTTTTTTTTTCTTTCAGCATGCCAGAATGAGATAGTGTAGTATGTACTCAGGTTTTTTTTTATTCATATTTGAAAGAAATCGTTTTCTGTGCTTTGAGTCAGTATCTACTTTTAGAAACACTTAACTTCTTGGTTGAGCCATTCAAACATTCCTTGCCCTTTTTTCATGTTAGTAACAGCCAGTTCCTTGGATTTTTTTTCTGTTTGTTGGTTCATGCATGTGTGAACTGCAGAAAAAAAATGGAGATACTTGGCAGTGTGAAAGTTGAACAGGAGGGAGAAAAAAAACCCCACTGTTGTATTAAAACAGGAGTTCTTCTTCAGAAAGGTAGACAGTTTTATAGCTCGTTTTACATAGGAGCAACGTGTCTCCAATGTAGAAAGGGGCTTAGGGATTGTGGTTTTTTTTGGGGTTTTGGTGTGTTCCCCCCCCACAGTTAACATAGAGCTTTTCTGTAAAATGCTATAGCCATTGTATATTACAGTCTCAATGTTGTACAGTTACTGATTTTTAAATTTTAATTATCTTCAAACACCTGAGTCTTTTTTCAAAGACTGCCAACCAGCTCATCTCAGTGTCAAAGTAAAACATTAGGGTGATGAGCTTGCAGAGTCCTTGCTCTGGGTAATTAATGTGCTGTAAAAAAAAAAATGCACCACCAGCTGCAGGCTGGGGTATTCAGGAAGGTCATGATAAAGTCAGTCTCTCTTTCCTGTCTCTATCTTACTGCCCTGGCTTGTCATATGACTACAGTTATAGAAATGGGGGCACATCAGCCCTGATCTGAAAGGAAGGGGAAAGTCAGAGTGGGGAGGGGTGTGTGCGATCAATGTAACTGCCACAAACAAGTGTGACATGTCTTCCACCGTTAACTATTTGAACTAGAACCTAAGGGAAATGGCTACAGAATTCACACCTGCTGTTAAATGAGCACTATCCCCTCTGATACTACGGCAGGAGTAAGTTATGTATCCGGTTGTGCAGGTATATTTACAGCCATGTTACTCAGCCCACAATGCGATTTCAGTCTCTGCCTGAGTTTACATAAGGAATGGCATCACCCCAAATTAGAGGGTGGGCCACATGCTGATCACTTTCGCCTTCTACCAGCTATGAGCACTCTTGGATGATACAGGCCTGCAAGAAGGAGATGAATGAGATCAGCTTGTTCACCATCTCTAAGCCCTTTTTTATGACTGGCTGGTGGGTTGAAGGTGGGACAGCCCCTCCTGGGTGTGCTGAGAGGCTGCGTTGTTGCAGGGGCAGTGGGAGAACTCACAGCCCTGCCCAGGGGCTTCTGCAAGCGGCCAGCACGGAGCACGCACCTGTGGCAGAAACACTCATCCAGGGAAGTTCTGCTGCCAGCACAACCACAGTGGGCTTTGGAAAGCCACTGCTCAGCCCGTTGAGAGTGCCCGTTGCCCCTTGGAAACTGGCTAGTGTATTGCTTAGGAAAAGTAACAACCTGTCCTTCCACCTTCAAACGCATGCAGCATAATTAAAAAAAACCACCACCACAAAAAACCACACACACACACAACCAATGCAAAACAATTCCCTGGTTAAATCCATGCAACCTCCTGGATCACATCCTGATGCAATTAGGCAAGTTTAAATATGCATAAGAAAATACATGCACACGCTACAGTTAGGCATTCATTAGAAGGAGAATAAAAAACAAGGTACGATATAAAGATATAAAACTTTATTATGAACATATTTAACAATGATTATCCACATGAATTCTTCCAAGAAACTCAATACCCAGCTTCTGCTTGAAGTAAAGCATTAGGTTTTCCTTCATATTCCATATTAGCATGAAGTTTTCTGACATAAATGGGCAATTTGCTGTCATTAACACAACTTCTAGATACATAGAACATTTAACACACGTCCTCATGCACACTTTCTCAAAGCAGCATTAATTACAGCTTCTTATTAAACAGAGCATTTATCTTACACATTTTATACCATTTTGGTACACAATTTTTCCATATTTTCATTTTACATATTTACAAACTTCTAAAAAAAGTTTTACAGTAATGCAAAGGTTATTACTGGCATAAGCAAAAGGAAAGGGGGGGTGGGGTGGTGGAAATGAGGTGACTACAGACACAAAGCTGTCTATCAGCTCAGAGAAAGACAACGGATTGAAGCCTTTCCTAGCTGGAACCATCCTCCATTTTCCCCAGTGTTAGTGCCACGGGTCTGTTGCACTAGCTGTCCCTTACTGGTGTTTAAGCCTTACGCTTCCTCTTCTTCGCCAGTCCTATGAAAGCTTCCAACCAATTCCAACACCAGCCATTTTAAAGCCAATACTATGGCTTGCCATGAATAGCTCATGCTCAATAATTACCCATTTCTTAAAAGTCCCTCTTGATCATTGTGTACGTGCAAGTCCTGCAGTTATTTAACAGCAGCTCCTTCAGAGCAGGAGCAATATATGCTGTGGGGCTTTTTTGTATAGTCTTCTCATTTTATACAGCTCCACTAATAATGGAAATACTTTATTACTTTAGCTGTAATGAAAGGAAAGGCAGACTAGTTTCTTATCCAGAGGTCTTCTGTTTCACCCCTAGGTTACAATACTTTACTCCGAGATGAGTTTATACCACTTACTCCCAAGCTGTTTACAATCCATATTGTAATATACCTGTAACAACCAGTTCAGTCTGTGATAAGAAACATTAGTATACTTTGCACATCAGTCAAATAAAACATTTTATCATTTCAGAAACAATTTAGAACATAATTAAATCAGGGGGAAATAATCTAAATATATAAGGATCATGTAAATAGCAATTTTTGAAAACCTGATTCCTGTACCCACTTTTACTCCAATGGGAGTCAGAATGATTTATGGTATGCAAAGGATGCCTAGTGGGCTCCCAAGTCTGACCCTGCAAATTTAAACAGCTGTGAACCTCAAGAGAGTTATCTGAGGAATCGCAATGAGAAATGGCTCACCACTTCCAGGATACAAAGATCATCTCCCGTACTCATTAAAAAGAAGTCTAAAAGGAAATGCTGAAGGTACAGCTTACTATAGTTCAGTGGAGAGAAAAAACAACACATCACTAACTTGAAATGCTTCTTTAACTTTTTCCTATACGTTCTTCTAAACTGACACCAATTATTTAAGAAATTAAAAGCAAGAACCTTCCTCTCCTTCCCACCAGCTTTGCTTTAGCCTTACAATAGTGCTTTGGCTTCTAAAAATTAAATGATCCCTGGTACAGAAATTTTTAAATATAAAATATCTTCCAAAAATTTCACATCTACATAATTTTAGAAAGTTTTCTCTCACACACACAGAGTATCTCACTACACTTGTCTTTAGCAGAGCTCTGATTTAATCTGAACTATTCTATGATGGAAAGGATGCAACCACACGAAGCAGTTCCTTTGGTCCTCTCTGAGCAAACTGCTGTTCAGGGAAGTCTCCCCTTCATCACCTTGAACAGCTGCCAGGAGGTTACTGCAATGGGGATGGTCCAGAGCAAAGCAGAACAAACCTGCTTTTCCCCCAACACAATTCAGAAGTCTAGCA